AAACTCACTAAACAACTCATGTGTACCTTGCTTTTCTCATCTTTTGGTACATTCTTGCAGGGCTCTTCACTGAAGAGGCCAGTGGTAGTTGGTGAAGTGAAAGAAGGTCTATATCTACTTAATCCAGTCTCTCTAAGTCCCGGACTAGCTCATGGAAATCAATCAGTTTTTAAGTCTTTTTTAGATTGCAACAACCTTAAGAAGGACATTGTGTCTCATTGAGTTTCTTGTTCAGCTAGAATCAATTCTAATGTAAGCCTACGACACAAAAGATTGGGGCACATGCCCCTATCTAGCATGCAAAATCTATCAAGTTTTTATTTTCCTTCCGTTTCCACATTTAATCATCCTTGTGATGTATGTTCTCAAGCTAGGCAGACAAAGTTGCCTTTTCATTTAAGTCATATAAACACAACTTCCATTTTTCAACTAATTCATGTTGATACTTGGGGACCTTACAAGCTCCCAACGCATGACGGTTATAGATATTTTTTGACTATAGTAGAGCAACTTGGACCTACCTTTTACAAATAAAAAGTAATGTTTTTTCACTTTTAAAATCTTTTCTAATAATGGTAGAAAGATAGTTTGCCACAAAAGTTAAAATCATTCATTCCGATAATGCTTTGGAATTAGGCTCGGGCTCTATTCTTTCAAAAAAAAATTCCTCTAATGGAATCCTTCATCAAACCTCTTGTGTTGCCACACCACAACAAAATGGAGTGGTTGAGCGAAAATACAAACATCTTCTAGAGACATGCAGGGCTCTATTATTTCAATCTAATCTCCCCACCATGTATTGGGGTGATTGTTTGTTAACTGCTACTTTTCTAATAAATCGATTTCCCTCTAGAGTTCTTAATTTCAAAACACCTTTTGAAATACTTTTTGGAAAAGTTCCATCTTATGATTTTCTGAAATGTTTTGGTTGTTTATGTTATGCATCTACTTTACCTCATCCCAGAACAAAACTTGAATCTAGATCTGTCAAGTGTGTTTTTATAGGTTATCCTTTTGAAAAGAAAGGCTACAAATTGTTGGATCTTCACTCTAAAGCCATTTTTACTTCACGAGATGTTATTTTTTATGAGGACATATTTCCTTTCTTCTCTCCTTCATCTGAACAACCAATTTTTCCTAAAGAAGTTTCTACTATTCGAGACTTGAATCACTCTTTTTCTCAGTCTGATATCCATTTTTCCACAGAATCCGATGCTAGCTCCCCTATAAAACCTTCAATAACTTCACCCCGCATAGCTCCTACCTCATCTCCTATCTCCAAGGATATTTCCTCTCTATCTTCCCTACCTCCTCAACCTAAACTAAGGCGGTCTACTAGGGACCATAATCCACCATCATATCTGGCAGATTATGTGTGTAATGCTGTGTACTTGACTGATCTAACCAAATTTTGTCTTGTAGCACCAATCTCACTTACTACTATAAATTTCACTGACCTCTCTCCCACAAACCAGTCCTTTTTTAACTCTATCTCTCACATCGTTGAACCTACAAGTTTCTCCCAAGCAGTTTTACATCCCAGTTGGCAGGAAGCAATGGCACAAGAACTTCTAGCCTTGGAAACCAATCAAACCTGGGACGTAGTTGAACTACCGAGAGGCAAGAAACTTTTACCTTGTAAATGGGTTTATAAAGTTAAATACAAATCTGATGGGAGCATTGAAAGGTTTAAAGCTCGCCTAGTTATCCGGGCAGACATCCAAAGAGAAGGAATAGACTATACTGAAACTTTTAGTCCAGTGGTGAAAATGACCACCGTTAGATGCATTTTAGCAGTTGCAATTAAACGACACTGGAAATTGTTTCAACTAGATGTCAATAACGCTTTTCTTCATGGTGATCTACAGGAAGAAGTATATATGAGATTCCCCCCAGGATTGCCTTCACCTTCTAATAATCATGTATGCAGGTTAAAAAAGTCCTTATACAGACTTAAACAGGCTTCCCGGCAATGGTACGCACGACTTACTGGTGCACTCAATTTCAAAGGATATTTTCACTCTCTTAACGACTATTCTCTATTTTTCAAGAAGACAGATACTGGAATTTCTATTGTTGTTGTTTATGTCGATGACATACTTCTCACAGATGATGACCCTACAGAGCTTTCTAATCTCAAATAATTCCTCAATTTGGAATTCAAAATTAAAGATCTTGGAGAAGCTAATTATTTTCTTGGCATGGAACTACTAAGGGAAAATAATGGACTAATTATCAGTCAACGAAAGTTCACCTTGGAGCTTCTATCTGAGTTTGGTATTCTTGATTCACAACAGTCTCATCTCCGCTAGACCCCAGTTGCAAGCTTCGAGCCGATGTCGGCGAACTTCTTCAAGACCCAACCATCTACAGGCGACTAATCGGAAAGCTCAATTTTCTAACTCATACTTGCCCTGACATCTCCTTCGCAGTTCAGTATCTAAGCCAGTATATGCAAACTTCGCGTAAACCTCATTTCAATGCTGGTTTACACTGTCTTCGTTATCTGTTGTCTTCACCATCATTTGGGGTTTTCATGAATTCAGAACCTTCTATTCAATTAACTGCCTTTTGTGATTATGATTGGGGAACTTGTCCGGAATCTCGTCGCTCAATTAGTGGTTTCTATATCAACCTCGGAGGATCCCCTATTTCATGGAAATCAAAGAAACAATCTTCAATATCCCTTTCCTCTGCTGAAGCCGAATATCGGTCTATGAAGAAGGTTGTTTCAGAACTTACATGGCTTGTACGTCTCCTCACAGATCTTTCATTTTCCGCCTCCTTGCCAGTCTCCCTTCACTCAGATAGGCAAGCGGCTATTCATATCGCAAAAGTCCTATTTTTCAAGAATGCACCAAGCACGTGGAAATTGACTGCCACTTTGTCCGCAACAGCTCCTCGCCGGACTCATCTCTTTATCATTTGTTCCGGCAAAATCGCAGCTCGCCGACATCCTCACAAAACCCTTTTTCGGACCTCTACATAGGGCCATCATCTCCAAGTTGGGTCTATTTTCTCACCCCTCCAACTTGCAAGGGGATGTTGGATTGGATTCTACGACCTCACCCCTAAATCAAGAGCTGGTCGACGACATAGAGGATACGCAGTCGAAGAAGACGAAGAGGAACAGAGAAAAGAGGCGTATGTAATGACCTAGAAATCAGAAGACTTGTTTAGGTTATATCGGGCTCAACAGGAAATTGGGCGAATATGTTATATTGGTCCAATAAACAAATAAGAAGCCCAAAATACAAAATAAGGTCTGACCCAAACTATTTAACATCCAGTCCATTTTCTTGTAGCATAATGGATGCACTTGTTTCTTCCATAATATAAGTATCCAAATGCAATGTATAGTTGTACATGTCATAGTGCAAACATGATTAGGACAACAAAATTAATAATTACATATTTGTACTTAGTATAGCTGTAATTGTCCCTAATTTGATTCCTAAAATAGGTGTATAAATATGCATTTTGTACATTCTATTATTCATCAAAAGAAAAGGAAATTTTCCTAAATCTCTACATAAAAGGAATCTGAAGGCCCATGTGTGCAGATTCCATCCCCAATCGATGGACGGTGAGCCATCTCTGCTGGGAAGGCGGTGAATCGTGTGTGGATGGGTTGTAGGGCTTGGAGATTGGAGGCAAAGGCGGAAAGAAAAAGGAAGTGAAAGAGGAAGAAGAAGGAAGTGATAAGCCTACTCTAGTCAAAGGTTATGTTGTATGAATGTATTAGTGATTCGACGTGATAACTCTAATTTTGTGTAAATTTCACCAATAATTTAGTACAGGTAGTATTAGATATGTAAACGATTGTGTATCTGAAGCTTAAAATGATGGGTTTTAAATTTAAAAAATGGCTACTATGATTAGAAAGGCTTTTGCACTGATCTAACACAACCATGGTTCATAGGTAAAGGCTTTTGCTTTAGAAATAGTTAAAGAAATTGGAAATACAGTTTGTTTATTATTTCTAATCATAGCAGCCATTGATGACAAGCTTTTGAAGCTTGCTTTTCGGGTATGGGTAATGGGTATGTTTTTTTTTAATTAATTAGGAGATATTTAAAATTGGCAAACAAGACGATGACATGTGTCCTTCCGTTTAAATGAGGGGTATATTTGAACCCAAAATATAATTATAGGGGTATATTTAAACGCATAGTATAACGAAGAGTATATTTAAATATTTTTTGAAAGTACATAGATATATTTGGCCCTTTTTCCGTATTAACTATGAAGATAGTGGCTAATAAAGCTTCTTATCCCGAATCCGCGACAGTAAACCTTTTACATTCTTTTCTGAAACCTTATCCAATGTACATTTAATGTAACGCGTTTTACATTATTAATATCTTGTCCTAAAAAAATATGTAACAGTGAACTCTGGATTTTTTATTTGAGAGTTGTGGTCTAGTGTGCTTCCTTGCAATAGTTTAAACTTATTTTCCATCTGTCAATAATGTTGGCTCCTGTTGGAGGAATCCGACATGGTCCGATAATTAATAATTTGAAAGTTATTTATATTTCTGCCTTCAGTATGTCATTCATGACCTAATCCAAGTTAAATTTCTCCATGATTTAACCAAGAAAATTAACTCAAAAAAAAAAAAATCTCCATGATCGCTCAAGGTTAAATTGTAAAGGACAAAATAGAAAATTGATCGGTCGATCGAAACTAATTGCATACAGTAGCTAAAGAGTAAGATATATATATATATATATATATATATATATATATATATATATATATATATATATATATATATATATATATATATATTTAACAATTGAGAAATATGTATCTTTAGTCGATCCCAAAAAATAAAAAAATAAAAAAATATATATATATATTTGGGAGCGACTAAAGATATATTTCTTAATTGTTAAACATCGATCGAGTGTGGGTAAGTATTTACCTTCGTTGAACTCTTATATATCTAGTTTGAAATCTCATTCCTAAGGTGCATACGGTTCTTCTTTTTCTAATATCTTTTTCTTTCTTTCCCAAAAATATTTCTGCAAGTTGGTTTTAGCATTCAAAATGTAACTATGAACAAATCTTCGTTGAAGCATGTTTATTTTGCTGTTTTGGGTGTTGGAAAGAAAAGGAAAATAAAAGAGCTCTTTCTAGCAAACAGAGGGAAATAAAAATAAATAAACAACTAATTTTGTTCCTCTTAAATAAAGTCAGCATTTGCCATTTGTTGGGAAATTATTAATGATAACAAATTGCATATCCCATTACACAAGATTCAACAAAAGGAGCATCATGGAAGAAATTATAAGCGCAACGAGTTTTCCACTATCCCATAATTTTCCAGATAAGGAAACTGGAGGAAAAGGTGGTGGTTTATTAGCTAAAGTTCTTTCTTTGGGACAATGGTAATTACATCTGCTTGGACGTGCAACTCTGTAGACACCGGTGGTTGTCAGTATATGAATGTCTTTTTTATTGTCTTCACCTAAGGATGCAACATATCCGATAGCAGGTATAACATCCTCTGCAATTGACTCACAATGAATTGGAGAATCTTGCGCACACCTATATTGGATCTTTGAACTTGTGAAATTTCTACTATTTTCAGGATTTTCAGTACCTGTCCATATTCCATCTGGATACAAGTCTATGTACAAGTACCTGAAAGTTTGATTCGAAATCAGGTGGAGCTGATGAAACAGTATACGTCTACTGAATTATCAAGTTTGTTAGCAAAGAAAAAGATGCAAACCTTCCATACAGACAGGGATCAGTGTGAGACCTATAGAAGTAGCCACCAGTTATGGACGCCGAACCAATTGTCGTATCAGCTTCAGAGTGTTTGTATCCCATGACTGGGAATATGAGACTCTTGGAGTTAGAAAAAGTGCTTCCTTTTGTGGCATTGCTTGGTTTGTAGGGATACGGGCCTTCATAAATGGACCACCCATAGTTTCCACCCTTTGTTATCATATCAATCTCTTCATACTGGTCCTACAAGATTCAGGAAGGAAGATGGTAACTTTATTAGGTGCAGACAATGCTGGATCAAGCAGAGGCTAATATTCTACCACTGTTTTTTGAGTTTCAATTAAGACTAGGATCAGGTTAAGAAGTCAAGCCAATGCCTTCTGGTGAAAAAATTCCTTCCAACTTTACTAAAGCTTTCAGAGGCCTGAGCATTTTCAATCAATTTAGGCCAGCATTTGCGGTTTCTTCTATAGAATCTTGGATAAAGTATTCACAGGCGTATCTATGCAGCAGGGTGAAGACCTTGTTCCAAGAAACTGATTGTATGCCCTTATCTGTTTGAGTTTTTTGATTGAATTTATCAAATTTCCCTTAACCATTAATAAATCATATAAGTAATGACTAGGCTAGTAAGAGAGAGTGAGCTTCCGAACCTGTCCAGCATCTCCACATAGGAAGTAGGAAGGCCTTTCTGAATCAAAACTACAACGCCAAGGATTCCTAAGACCCAAAGCCCAGATTTCAGGCGCTAATTGCTTGTCATTATTGTATGGATTATCTCTTGGTATGGAGTAGTTTCCCCAAAGTCCTTGAATGTGCGCTTCATTTCCTGTCAGTCATCAAAATTGCAGACTTCAGCTGTTACAGTGCAAGAAACACGCACTCTGATCAACCAATTTGTGTCGACCTGCCTACACAAAAGCTTAAATGTTCTTTCCAGAGGCTATGGGAACACTATGTAGTGATTTCAAAAGTTTCATTGGTAAATTTTTGTTTATATTTTTCAGATATTAACAAGTTTACGCAATAAACATTTTGATCAGCATACTTTGATCCACATCTATCCTCAAGATCTTTCCATGCAATGATCTCTTGTTTTGTGCAAAATTGTAAGGATCCCCTCGATGTGTACCAATTCCAGTCATAACATACAAAAACCCATCGGCAGGGCCAAATAGAATCTGCCCTCCATGAACTCCCCTATCTGGAATTCCCATCGTAAAAATCCTCCTCACTTCTAATGGACTAGCCACTTCAGCCTGTCAGCAAGATGATCAAAGTAGGATATTAAGGGAACTTCAATCCAGAAAATCCGTAAATTCATACAGCGATAAGGAAAGCATGGAGGTATACCAAGGAATGTGTTGATGCAGTACCATTCGCTGTGAACTCTGCTACTATAGTATGATACTGACATGGCTCGATGCCACTCTCTACTGGAAGCTTTGCTGGATCACAATTAACTTCCGAGTTGCATGAGCATCTGCCTGAACATCCTGAATGTTGCAACTTATCACAATTGTATGAAACGAAGAAACGACCATTATTCACAAAATTAGGATGGAATTCCATTCCCAATACCCCATATTGGTTACCAAAAAGCACTTGATCAGTTATATCTAGAAAGGGCTTGGATTCATCAAGCTCCAACACTCCATTAGATCCATCCTCGGGAACAGTGGCAATCCATATTTTACCTTGTTGATTCCACAAAAAGACACGGTTAGAGCCGTCAAGGTGTGGAGCCATGCCTATGTAAGATCCATTTCCAATTTTTTCAAGGCAAACACCATTTGAGGCTTGATTTTGAGCTTCACGAATACCAAATGATTGAGCATCATTTATTATGTCCTATAAGTTGATTTCAAGACAGAGAACAACTCAATGAGAGAAAAAGTTTTCAATAGGAAATGTAGATATCTAATCTCAATAAAGCATGAAGGACTCTTACTGAACAGAACTCGGGATCAGAGATATTCACTGCTGCAAATTCCTTATCCAATCTTAAGTCCTCTGCAGAGTCACATCAAACACTCCCATTAATTAGAAAAAAAATCAGTTCTATATCTGATGTGCCCCTAGGTGACTAGGTCCATGTCCAATAAGTAGAAAAGAAAAAAATGGAAGAGAAAATTAAGACAGGCAACTACAACCTATACATAAAAATAAAAAGAGTGATGATAAAGCCTTACTTAACTGAATGCACAAAGTATAGGATGATAAAAAACCAATAAGTAACGAGAGATTCAGGAGAAAAACAGTGCCCATAGCAACCATAGCACTAATGACAGGATGGAACTCCACTTTATAATGTATGCCTTATTATAGGAATGAACTTAAGAGCACCACAGAAACACAACTATTGGAGGATATATGATGAACAACATTAATTCCTATAAAGGCCTTTTGATCTGAATCTTAGTCTCTTCATATATAATGGCTCTAGAAAAATAGTGTAAAATTTTAGGATATGTAATTATATCACTACGTTAATCTGAGTGCACACGCCGATCTCAATGCTATTTTAGTAACACAATTGCATGGGGGGCCAAAACCTTTGCGTCCCAATGTTTGTATCCGGTCGATCTAAGGTTGATTACCTACAGGATTTTCTTTTCTTCGTACACCTTATTACTAGAAAATTACAAATTGGAATACATGGTTAAGCAGGCTCAAGCATCTAAGCAAGCATCACTTAACCAGGGCCCATTTATTGGAATTGGGAAGCATTGTTACCAAAAACATACTACTCCACTATAAAACAAAAAAGAGAATTTAATGAAGAATCACTTATAGCCTGTTTGACCAAGTTTCTCCAAGTTGAAAAACACTTTTTTTTTCCAGGAAAAGTAGTTTTTTTTCAAAGCTGAAGTGTTTGGCAAAACTTTTAGGAAAAAAAAGTGTTTTTGAGGAGAAGTAGAAAAAGTAGCTTCTTCCCAGAAGCATTTTTGAGAAAAATACACTTAGAAACACTTTTTAAAAACTTGGCCAAACACTAATTGCTGTTTAGAATTGTTTTTCAAATTAATTAGCCAAACACAAATTGCTTCTCACCAAAACTACTTTTGAAAAAAACACTTTTGAAAAGAAGCACTCTCAAAATAAGCTGATTTTTTCAGCTTGGCCAAACATGCTATTAAACTCCTGAATCCCGAATCCTGATTTCGATTTTTAAGGTTATTTTCTATGATAGATATCAGAAGATTCAAACTGCAGCTATTTGGGGATAAAGTTAGTATCTTAAGAAATAAAAAAATAAATAAAAACCAACCTAGAAGAATATTCCTTACGAGCATGAATAAGTACATGAAAAATGACACTGCTGTAAAAAATAATAGCCGAAAAATATATAAAATTTGTATATTTTTTGTATGTACATTCTGTATATTATATACAAAAATTATACAAATTTTATATACTTTTTCGGCTAACAAATACAAATAGTTTCTGGCGCAGGCTAAAAATGATAATACCCCAACAGTACAACCTCACCACCAAGTAAAGCCCAAATGCAAGCAAGAACCAAATCAAACAAAAGGGTGAAAACCAAATTATAGCCGGTGACAAAATGAGAGTCATCCGTAGCCAAAAACAAGACGGCACCAGTGATACGCATATTATAACCTGAAGAAGTTAGGGAAGCCACGTCAGCAGAGGTCGTTAAAGTTAGTTAAAAAAAACAGTTAGCACAGTGTCAAGTTAGTTAGAGTAGTTAGCTGGATTTAACAAACTGAGCTGTAATTTTCAATTCCAATCAAGTAGTATAAACACTTGTACTGAGTTCATTACAAGCAATAAGAAAGTATTACAATCTCTGCAGCTGTTGAATTCTCGAATTATATTCCTGAATTCAAGTGTAGTTAACAATTCTGTTAACATTAGTATAAGAGTTTTCGAATTCTCGGTACTCATGGCGAAAGGAACTAGGTCTAATGGTGACACTGCTATGAGAGAGATGATGCAGAAAATGCTGGCAGAGGTGGGGACTCTTGCTAGGGAAGTAGCTCATCTGAAGGGATTAGATCAAACAGTACACGAGCTGAGGGAGCAGATTATAAATTCTGGAGAAAAGCAAAAGGGAAAAACTCCATCAAAGAATGACGAAGGAGCATCTGGAGGAAGGCAATCGAGAGAAAAATCACAAGGTGAAAGGAGTCCTGATTGCACTCACAATTACAATTCAAATCCTACTCGATGGTCAAGAATGGAGTTCTTGCGATTTGCAGGTGAGGATCTAAAATCTTGGTTGTTCAAAATTGAACAATTCTTTTCAGTGGAAAGAGTATCAATGGATGAGAGGTTCGGTGTTGCTGCTTTACAGTTAGAAGGGGACATGAGAGGATCAGTATTGCTGCTTTACAGTTAGAAGGGGACGCAATCTAATGGCACCTGTCATTCATGAAATACAGGCAATATATCCAACCTGCTACTTGGAATGAAAATGTGATGGCCTTAGTTGAAAGATTTGGTACCGATTTTGATGACCCTATGGATAAAATCAAAAAGATCAAACCGTTGGGGAGTGTGAAAGAGTATCAAGCTGTCTTTGAAAGGAATATGACTAGGGTGACATTATCACAAGAGAATGCTATCAGTTGCTTCATTGGGGGGCTCAAACCTGAGCTGATTATTGCAGTCAAAATCAGCAACCCTACAACTCTATCACAAGTATACAAAGCTGCTAGAATGCAGGAGGCATATCTCTCAGCCATCAGACAAACTACTGGCCAGTCCACTTATACTAATCCACCAAAGAAGTACATGGAGTCGAAGGGTTATGACAGACCAATCCTTCCTAATCGTAGCACTAGCAAGGTTCATAGGAGGAGGTTGAGTCCAGAGGAAATGAATGAGAAGAGGGCAAAAGGTTTATGCTTCTTCTATGATGAAAAGTACACTATTGGGCATAAGTGCAAGAATAATAAGCAGTTGTATCTGCTGGAACTTAAGGAGCAAGAAGAAGTGGAGCAATCAGAACTGGAGGAAACACAAGATGAACTGGCTTTGCAGATCCATGATTCAGAGAAAATGACAAAACAAATGGAAATTTTCATCCATGCACTCAATGGATCATTGTGTTGATTGTCAAAAATCCCACATCGGTGGGTGACAATTTGGGTTTGGGAATTTTTCCCTATAAAAGGAGGCATAATGTTTAGGATTTAAACACACCTCTCATTTTCCTTCTTATCTTCTTAATGCATTTGTATCTTCTCTATTTAGTATTATTTCACTTGTATTTTTGGAGTGAAATAAAATATTGGTTGTGTCCGAGGAAGTAGGCAAAATTGGCCGAACCTCGTAAATTCTGGTATTCTTTCTATTGTTGCTTTATTATCTTATTTATCATTTGGTGGCTGTCATAATTTTTGGTATAGTAGTTGTGACTCATTCACACTATATACATTTGGCTTCCGCAACAATTGGTATCAGAGCCAAGGTACTGTCCAAGTATGCTCTGTGGTTGTAGCATAGTCTGATCTTCCACATCAGAAAAGATTTATCTTGGTAACTGAGTCAAGGTTCTATTTGAGTATGCTCTGTGGTTGCAGCTTAGTCTCATCTTCCACACCAGAAAGGAAATAATCTTGATTTGTGTCGTCAGCTATTAAATAATATTTGTGTCAAAGATGGGAGANGAAACAGTCAAAATAAATTATACATGAAGAAGAGATTGTTTCGCTTCACCTATGTTCCTGGTACCACAATGAACGAACATATCACCAGTTTCAATAAATTGGTCACAGATTTGCAAAATATGGATGCAACTT